GTTATCCGCTCTCTCTTTCTTCATTTCTGAGTCCACGAGATAGGTTTCAAAAACGTCACCATCTTCCCGATTTGCAACAGTGCGAAACTAACACCATCACTTATTTACTGCGAGCTGGTGGCACTCATGATGCCATGATCGTCTGAGCCCACAGCAGTTTCCCTGCGTATCCGTCAGCAGCCTCACTCCCCGAGTCCATCTGACGATGCAACCGAGATACCAGAGAATGAATTACAGAGATTACTTCACCTGACTAACAAATGACACATTAAAGAAAAATAAATCTTGTCAACCACATCTAAAACTTGACTCCCAATCGTACAGCAGCTACGAGTTGTTTACAGATATTTGATAAGGATTCCTCTTGTTTCTATTATATAGGCGCTTCAATGGCTTTAGAATTGAAATGCGTGGGATTCCTAAGTGATTTTAATGAAGAGCTTCAGGCTAGTTTGGATATGAAGGAAAGCTACAATCTTTTTAATTTTTGTAGGTCATCATTTCATCACTTTCTAGCTAGGCACATAACTGACACAACCACAAGTCTCCAACTGAAAACAAGAACATTTAATAACTTGGCACAGAATCAAACAAATTAGTAGGTTTTCCTGAAAGGGCACCCTGGACATGCACTATTAAATTGCGATTTTCACTTCTAATGCCTCCTTCAAAGATCCTGCAGGAAGCTAAAGCCAACAAAATAATTTGAACACAGCTCTGATGTGCAGCAGTGTTTCTGGAACATTGACTTAGCCCAAAAGCCTACACAGAGAGCCTAATGGGCTACTTCCATGAAGCAGAGGCCCAGCCCTTGAGCACAGTGCTTGCTCCTGCCTCTGTGGTGAGTAATGAAGTCATTATGTACAAACATGGTCTGCACACTGTGCCCAACTGCACCTGTGTTGCTGTGTTGAATGTGTCAGGACTGAACATGGGCGTGTATTTTCAAGGATTCTGACATGTAAGTTTAAACTTTCTACGCCCGTTCTGGGCACTGAACCATGTTTAAAAGGCAGCAGGAGAGGAAACCAGTTCAAGGGGGAGCCATTGTCAAGACATGGATGAGACTGCTACCTGCACTTCAAGTCAAGCACTCAAGTGAGACGTTCTGCCCAGGGAAAACACCCCCTGCCCAGGGACACCTGACATGTGGCATTAATTCAGGAATTAAAAACAGATATAAAAAACTACCCAGATGTTTTCCACTGATCTGCACCAAGCATGTCAAAAAACATCAGCCAAGTGCAGGCTGTAATCCAACCGCCCTGTCGCGCGACGGTGAGAGGTTAAAAATAATTACGTTCATGTGGCACCCATAGTAGGGGTGCTGTCCCTTTAGTGGGCTGTTTCTCGGAGCTGGAACACACATCTATCTGATCTGCGTGCAACAGGAACCCAACCCCTTTCAAACCTGATCAATTTCTTCTGTCCAGATCAAAAGTCAGAGCTTGAAAACGTACAGATAAATGCATGCCCATTTAAGAAAAAAAAAAGGCACAGATTGCTGTACCAGTCTTTTTCAAGTTCAAAGCAGTGATTGAAGAGTACTTTGACTGCACTCTGTTATTGAAAGAGCTTTCCATCACTGAAAAATCTGACTTTGTTTAAAACAATTAAGATGTCCTGGTCCCAAATCTAAATTCTTCACTGAACTAGATATTCCAATCATGACGGTCAGAGGAAGACATGCCTAAAATTTAAAAATCTCCTTTGGACTTCAACATTTGAAATGAGCCAGAGAAGAAGACGACAACCCTAAACTCATGTGATTGCCACGATATCTACCATGTGAGCGAGTGAGTCACTTTCGGAACCCAAGGCCACAACGTCTCCAAATCCCATTTCTAAAAGGCACAGAGAATAATTGTATGGGGGGGAAAAAAAAAACAAGAGAAAGGAACATGACCAAGAATACACACAACAATCCTGCACAGAACTGGTTTTAAAACCCTCTTCTCAAGTTTGGAAACCATGAAGGCAAAAGGTAAAAACAAAATATCTAAACCGAGAAGCTCAAATCAGAGTAGTTTAAAGCTGTAGGTTGAGGTGGTGTTTTATAAAAAAGGCACTTGAGCCTCATTATAAAACAGTGTTATAATCTACAAATTGCAGAATACTTTCCTAACCTCCACGGGTAGATTATTGTTCATGTTGCAGTATGATCCCTTACATACATGTTGTATTGTTATTAAACTCTGAAATAAGGAGGAGAGGAAAATTTCAACTCTTCAGACCATTTCAATTGATTGCTAGTCAACCATTCATATACATGTAATCTGATCTTGCCTCACATAAGACAGGAATCCTCCCAGAGCAAATGGGTGTATTTCTGTTGTTTTTTTTAAGACATTCAAGTAGCATTATTTTCAAAAAACAAAACGATACATCTGCGTAGATGTGATCAATACAGAGAGAATGGTACTTTGTTTTGGCGATTATATTTTGGATATGGTGAAAAACAGAAAAAGGCTGAGAAAAAGAGATCCTCAGCTTAAAGTTGCGTGAGGGTGATTACTCAAATGTATGCACTGACTCGGCAGAATCTAGCTGCTTTTTTCATGCTAATGGAGCATCAAGCGTCAATGCTAACACCAACAGCTTCAGTCCACGCACCTCCTCAGCCAGTCTGCAGCATTTATTCCACAGTAGTGTTAACTCTTGTTGCAAACCCTGCCGCCCCCCTCACAAGTAAAGCACCAAACATTAATTTGATAGCACGTTTAGATGGATTGATAATATAAATGAGGAGCAGCAATCTCAAGACCTCCTCGCACCCCTCCGTGGCAGCCTGATTATTTCTCACCCCCTGTCGGTTTGCACAAGCAGAAGAGTTCCCACTTTCACTGGTGGCCATGAGAACAGGGAGGAGTGAGTGTGTGTGGGCGAGGGCCGTTACACCACTTCTGGAGTTCAGGGATTGGGGGTGGGGGGGGGTCACACAACAGGCAAGGCAAACAATGGTAAAGCTCAGAGCCTCACACCAGTTTGTGGGCATTGTCAACCAATATCAACCTTCTTGGTTGCCCTCTGGGAAACCCGGACTCTACCTTCTTCACCCTCATGAACTCTTGATACAGTATTAAGATGATGTAAGAAAACACATACATGAGGCCACTGGTGTAACAGTTTTGTGTACTTTATCAAAATATTAAGGAACCCATTATCTACTGCTGTCCTTACTATCAATGTTACTAATGAATGTAACAGCACGGCGGTAGTTGGTACTGATTTAAAGGTTGGCAGCTATCTAAAGTGTCAGGGCCTAACAGAGAGCTGCTGTACCTTTCTCTTTCAGATTAATTAGCATTTTCACAAGCAGGAGTCTATGTAAACATGACTTGAGTGTGCCAGAAAAAAAGGGCTTTTTGTCCATTTGTGAGGTGCACATATTGGGTAAATCAAGCCTCAGCAGTAGGTGAGGCTGGGCCTGGTCTGTAATGGGCCCGGAGGCCTCTGTTCAGTGTGGCCCTTCTCCTCCAGACCTGAATCTCCAAACCATTGGCTACATACAATGACTGGGGAAACTGAGGTCCTGACAGACCACTTGGTCATTGAAGATCCCAGGATAAGTGCTTAAGAGCAGGAAAGTCAACTGCAGTGAATGAGCTACATTCTACACTGGGCTCATATGATATAGCTACCCTAAAGCTCACCTCCATTTAACCAGTGAGGCACGTTTCCTCTAGTCTCAATCCTTCGGTCATGTCACCCAGGTGAGACTGCCCCTGGGGTCCTATTCAGACATATACGTCTTTGGGATTCTTTGTGATGAAAAGCACTATACGGTGTATGTCCTATGACTTTTGGAGGGGAATTTATTAAGCATACTTTAATGTACAGAGACTAGCATTTTAGATTCAAAATATTTTTTCCACCAATTTGGTGTTCACATTATTTTTTATATGAAGGCTTCAAGCGTCACCATCGGCAGTAGAATCAATGAACGTCTTATTCTCCTGCATCCTACTTAAAATAAAACGCCCGAGCTCTGACATCATGCACGTAAACCTTAAATTTCTTTTAGAAAAGGTCTCTTGTAAAAAAAAATCTGTGTCAATCCAAGCAGTATAGTTTTTTCAGGTAACAGAATGATCAATTAAAGGAGTTGAGCTCTTAAGGCCCGCAAATCAATTTTTTGCAACTTTCCCTTGTAAGCTTATAATGTGTAAACTCAGTTAAGAAAAATACTTTTAAGAGCTTCTCACTAAGTTAAGTTCTGGGAGATCTGAGGTGCTAGGCGGCAGGGCTAAGATATATTCGTGCAGAATACAGGTTATCGTGCATCTACGTTAAAATTATACCCTTGAAAAATGCAATCATCTGCAGACACTACTTGATAACCCGTTTATATGAGGCTGCAGGATGCTTTTTGCAACAATCTCGTCTTTAATGAGTAAATATTGCATCTTTTAATTAGCTCTTAACTTTTTTTATGAAAGTTATAAATCAATCTGACAATTCCGGGGAATAAATCTGATAAAACGAGCAAGTACACTGTTTAACTTCCAGAAATCCAATTTAACACAAGATCCAAGGGGGTTAAAGAGGTAATTATTTCCCGGTATGTCTTCCATCTTCCAAATATGATGCGCTAAGCGCGTCTCAGTTGTCCTGCTGATAGTGTGAATCTGTACAATAAAATCGCTGTTGGTGATCCTGCCCTTGTGAGACATGTACACAGTTTTTTTAACTCCTTCATACTTGGGGGTTTTAAAAGTTTCACCAGAAAACTCAACAGCCTTAACTGCATCGATGATAATGATGATTATTAATTATTATTATTCCAACACGTCTGTATAACGTGTACCACGAAACAAAGTACAGTTTCAAGTCGCTATGTATTTATAAGCACAAGCATGTTTCTAAATATGAATAAACATGGTAACTATCACACCCGGCGAGATGTGTTATCAAATAAAGCGTTAAAAAACATAACAGTTTCCAAAAATAATGAGGAAACAGAAAAACAGTGGATGTTAAAAATGTTTAAGTCTGCAAACCTTGACCGGGGAGCTCCGAGTGGCGGTCGGCAAGTCTCGGATGGCTGTCCCTGGAGGAGAGGCTGAGATGCCGGACGCGCATCCAAGGGAAGCCCCGGTGAGAGACGGTCTCCCTCCGTTTCTGGGTCGCTGTTTAATCCCGTCCAGCAGCCGCACCAAAAGGATGTTAGCTGGTAAATCGTCCACGCCGCAGTCCACCAGTATCCGGCACTCCGGGCAGCGCAGCTCGTTGCGGGAGCTGACGATATTTTCCAGGCAGCGGCGGCAGAAAGTGTGCTGGCAAGGCAGGACTTTGGCGGTGGTGTCCAGCCGCTCCAGACATACCGAGCACTCGAGTAAATCCAAGAGGGACGACTCGTCCATCTTAGCCCGAAATGCGAACCGCAAAACGTGTTTCTAGCCCCGCAAACGATGCACTGCGGGCAGGGTGAAACATACTGGCGAGCACAGAGGACGACAACTACTCCTCCTCCTCCGCCGGAGCTCCGGCAAAGAGCTGCTACAACAGAGCCGTACCAAAAAAAAGTGAGGTCAAATCCTAGCAGCAGGCGCACCGAGATCTACATAGCTACGCGTTGATTAGAGGAGCAGAGACGGTGTACTGCAAGACAACACAGCGCTGTTGAGCTTTTAATTACGCACCGCTGCTCGAAAGTGGGAAAACCAAACCCCATATGTGCCCTGCACCTCAGGTGTGTGGTGCAACACCTTAATGACGAAGATAAGGAGACAACACACATTCCCCACCGCTGCGTATCAGCACATCCAGCCACATGATGTCTCAACGATTGTGGAGAACAGATTAAAAAAAAAATCTAAATTCCTCTACCCTTAAACCAAGAGGGACGTTAATCCCTTTAACGACTCGGATCGTAAAACGATGTTCAACTCCTCCATTTCTGTGTGAACTGAAAGGCTGTTATACCCTCAGCTCAATTGCTCAAGACGTTAATTTTTTTCGAAGTGTTACACAAGATTGTACCCACTCTGCGAGTCTGAAAAAGTGCACAATTCAACATTGCAATAGATCACTGACATTGCGAATTGCCAAGAATGAACTATCCAAATTAGTGACTACGCTTGGTGTATAAATTTTAATACGCATTGCATTACAGTTGTTGAATGGAAATTGCAATCTGTCAAAAGTACGTCGTTGTAAAACCTGTTTTCTGCCTTTGGCGTGGTTATCGTGACTGCCAGAGTTCTAATTCATGTTGTGTTATGCAGCTAAGGCAGTATGACAAGAGTAATACTAAAAGTTATCAGAAGCACAAGATTTGCATTAATGAACAAAGCGTGCTTCGTGTAAACAACCATTTCAGAGATGTGCTTCCCATGTTTCGCTATTCCATCTCGGTAAACTAAGATGAAAACTTTTTTCTTCGCGAACTACAGGGATTTTGAAATATTTGATACAACAAATGCTCAGCCTAGCCAAAACCTTGTACAAAACAGAAACAAACTCCCCCCCCACAAGACACCTCCTCCGTATTCTCCAAAACACCACGTCTATTTGTCGAAAAGGGTTTCCTTACCCAAGCTCTGAACTAGCGTCACAACAACGGAAATGCGTAACAGAAAACCTGCAGAGATTGTGTGCATCGGAGATAACATCATAAGACGTGGTCGCAACGATAAACATTTGTTGCAACGCAGTGCCCCCTAGCGGTGCATTGATTGTTTTTTTTTCCCTGGCAGGCGAATTTCTTAAAGGGAACAGAGGTTGCAGCCAGCATATAAACGCATAACTCAGTGACAGTTCAGTTTTAGCTTAGCGATCTTTGAATTGCAGTTTGCTATTATAGTGATCACTTACTGAAGACGCCAATTCATTAAGTCCTGAAGGTAAATCATTGTTTTGTAGTGCATTTCCATAATCACTTTTTGTTTGGAAACGTTAGCTTAAAGATCCATAACCACGGTGCATTTTTACACAAGAATAATACTCACTGTATGAAGACTTTAAACCCGAGTCTTGTATGTATCACTCTCCAAAAAATATAAATTTCTTCTCTGAAATCACTCAACAAACAAGATACATTACCAGTCTCAGATCAATGTCCTACTCTGATAAGTGAACTAAATGTTGTTAGTTTTGTACAGTGATGAAGGGGTACTGATTCAAAAACTAAAATTCCTCAAAGGAACTAACACAGTGAACTAAATGGGCTTCTTCAGAATCAACAGTTTAAAATGTGCCAGAGGGCACAAGTGGAAAATTAGGGGGAAATGCATTTAAAACTGAGAACAGGAGAAATAAAGAGTATGGAACAGTAGAGTATGGAGTGCTGTCAGAGCTGATAACTTGGTGGATATGTAGATCATTTATCTACTGAGCAGTCATGATCAGACCCTGACTGGGCCACAGCTCTATCAACACTGCTTATCCAGTGGGATCCTCATGTTACTGCCTCCTCCCTAACACCCTTCAGAAAGCCCAGAATATTGCAGCCTTCCCATTTACCGTGGTAAAAAAATGACCTTGTCCATTATACTGTGAATCGACCATGTGGTTTATGTATTCTCCAGCAGCCATATCACCCTGCAACTCACAACTGGCAACCCACTGAAGCTAAGCAGGTGTGAGCCTGGTCAGTACCTGGACTGGAGACTTCCGGGAAAAACTAAGGTTGCTGCTGGAAGAGGTGTTAGTGGGGCCAGCAGGGGGCGCTAACCCTGTGGTCCATGTGGGTCCTAATGCCCCAGTATAGTGATGGGGACACTATACTGTAAACAGGCGCCGTCCTTCGGATGAGACGTAAAACCGAGGTCCTGACTCTCTGTGGTCATTAAAAATCCCAGGGTGCTTCTCGAAAAGAGTAGGGGTGTAACCCCGGTGTCCTGGCCAAATTTCCAATTGGCCCTTACTAATCATGGCCTCCTAATAATCCCCCTCTATGAATTGGCTACATTACTCTGCTCTCCTCCCCACTGATAGCTGATGTGTGGTGAGCGTTCTGGCGCACTATGGCTGCCGTCGCATCATCCAGGTGGGGCTGCACACTGGTGGTGGTGGAGGGGAGTCCCCATTACCTGTAAAGCGCTTTGAGTGGAGTGTCCAGAAAAGCGCTATATAAGTGTAAGCAATTATTATTATTATTCTCCTTCACTTAACTTTAACCAGGTTACTAGCATTGGAAATGTGTCTTAGGCATGTTTATCAGGAAACAACCCTTAGCCTAGTGTTTTAAAGCATCAAAGCAGAGTGATACTGATGACTCCAGAGAAATTCATGATCCAACGTAATTCCAAACCTACATGCTTTTTCATTGATCATCAGAAATATAATAGTTCCATCAGAGTCTCAGCAGAGTTTCCAATCAGTATTGCTTGTTCTGTCCCCATCACATTTATAGACAAACATCTTGTCTCAAGTCCCAGTACAGCAACAATCCCTTTCAGTCAGTATGACTGTAATACACGGGTCTTCAAGTTGAGTTTTCACTGATAACTGAAAAAATCTCAAATTTGTGTAAGAACTATTTTTAGGATACAGTTGAATGCACTACATACAGAAAGGCTGGTTCTACTGGCAGAACTCATGAACTGACAATCATTGTAAGAATTCTCGGAAAGATCAAGCTGAATATTTCTGGCTTTTAACATACCAGTACAATATCCATTCCGAAAAACAGATTTTAATTTTCCATTGCAAATGATTGCAATTCCAACGGATTGCATATGCAAAAGCTAACGATACCTTATTAAAACGGACACAAATAAGCCAATCATTAGATTAACTGGCACAATGTAACATTTTTTAAAGGTCTTCAGCTGTCAATGATTTAAAGAAAAGTAGAAAAGCTGCTGGAGTGTGACCATCTAGCACTGCATACCTCTGCTATTTATTACCGGTGGCCATATCACCATACACCTCACAACAGGCAACTCACTGGAGCTCAGCAGGTGTGAGCCTGGTCAGTACCTGGACTGGAGACTTCCTGGGAAAGCTAAAGTTGCTGCTGGAAGAGGTGTTAGAGGGGCCAGCAGGGGGCGCTCACCCTGCAGCCTGTATGGGTTCTAATGCCCCAGTATAGTGATGGGGACACTTATTATAATAATTAATAATTGCTTACAGTTATATGTAACATGTATATGTTATATGTCTGAAGGACAGCACCTGTTTACAGTATAGTGTCCCAGTCTCTATACTTGGGCATTAGGACCCACATGGACTGCAGGGTAAGTGCCCCCTGCTGGCCCCACTAACACCTCTTCCAGCAGCAACCTTAGTTTTTCCCAGGAGATCTCTCATGCAGGTACTGACCAGCCTCTCACCTGTTTAGCTTCAGTGGGTTGCCAGTTGTGAGTTGCAGAGTGATATGGTTGCTGGCACTATACTGTAAACAGGCGCCGTCCTTCTCATGAGATGTAAAACCGAGGTCCTGACTCTCTGCGGTCTTTAAAAATGCCAGAGTGTTTCTTGAAAAGAGTAGGGGTGTTACCTGGGTCTCCTGTCCAAATTCCCTATTGGCCTTTACCAATCATGGCCTCCTAATAATCCCCATCTTGAACTGGCTTCATCACTCTGTTCCCCTCCCTACTGATTGCTGATGTGTGGTGAGTGTCCTGGTGCACTATGGCTGCCGTCGGATCATCCAGGTGGATGTTGCACACTGGTGGTGGTGGAGGGTAGTCCCCATTACCTGAAAAGTGCTATATAAGTGTAAGGATTTATTATTATTGCAGTTTGTTTCTGCGAGTAGTAGTACAGTATATGTTCCTAGAGACAACACTGCCAACCGGTGGATCACAGAAGTACTGTTTTGCTCTTGAATGTGCAACCCAGTGGTTAATGCAAACAAGGCTTGCAAGGCCTACATGTGCACACATAGCCTGTCTCTGTCACACAGACAGAGTGTCTGCAAGCCTGCGGCTGTGTGTTTCTTGAAACCACAGGCATAAAGCACCTTTCAAGCGCGTGTCTTTGTTGATATTTGACACCTCCTTGGTTTCAGAAAATGCGTCACTATGGAAATTACATGAAAGAGGAAAAGGTGTATCTTTCCAGCAGACATTTATCAAGGCCCGCTGAGAAAAGCCAGTTAAAGGGTCCTTGTCCCCTTACATTGGAAGTTTTTAAAATTGTAACAGCTATGGGAAAAATACACAGAAATACATAAAAAACACTGCGATGCAAAAGACTCAGCCCATGTTATATGTTCAGTATGTATAATACTGTACATATATTTAGCTTATGATCATCAACATAAAGATTTTACTAGTGTTTCCTATTGTTGTATTAAATGTAACTATTGTTAATATTGGTTTATTTTGGAGAGAAACAATAAAGATCGTCAATTAACAATCTACAGTTCAAACTGACCATAATATAAATGATATATATATATATGAGCAGCCAATATGAAGCATTTCATATATGAAGCATTTCAGCAGGTAGGTAATCCATTACATTTACCAATCCAGTCTAACTGATTCAGTGTCTCATGCTTGTCATCTTTAAGGTTATTTCTGTCTCTCTACATGTCCATAAAGCTAAAATGCTACTTTTTGTACAACACAGCCTGAAGATCTATCAGGATTAACTGGCTAAATTCCACTAGAAGAACTGTTAAATGTGTTTCTGTGTAGGACTTAGCAAAATGCCTAAGATTTTTGCTTAGCGACATAGTGTATGTATGGGAAAAGCAAACAGTAATTCCTGTCTCCACCATCCACTTTCTAACTGCTTTATCCAACACAGGGACACGGACGAGCCAGAGCCAATCCCAGCAAGCAGCAGGCACAAGGCAGGGTTCACACCCTTGACAGGACACCAGGCCTTGGCAGGACACGCATAGACAGAGACACAAACACACTCTCACTTCTGCCAATTTTCCCAGAAGCCAGTTCACCTACTAGTACGTTTTTTGACTGTGGGAGGAAACTGAAGCACCCGTGGAAACCCACATCATCACAAGAACAACATGCAAATCTCACACAGATAGTAGAACCTAGGGCCCCAGTGCTGCAAGGCAACAATGCTTACCACCGCCCCACTGTGACACCATAATTGCTATAGTGTGGTGTTAAAAATTGAAATTATAATGATCGTTTTTTGGTAATTTTGATAATCTAATGCAGCCTGGCCATGTGTGCTGCTGTCACATGTTGCTCTTTATTTCACCAGCTTCAGACATTTCCAAGGACTAAAAAATCCTCGAAAGATTGCAGCTGGCAAAAAGCAAAAATATATTTAAAGGCTGTTTCACTTTAACAGCAGAACACACTCTTAAACAGCCCCAGGTGTTGTATTAAATTATTCAGAAGCTCAAATGCCAATATTGGCATAATTTTGAAGCATTAAGTTAAATAAAATAAAATTGAAATGTCAAAGGTGATACCATTGTCTTTTCCGCCATCCTCATAAGTACTCAAAGCATTTAGCAGCTATAGATTTACCTCATCTATATATAAACATAGTAATGCACACATACAAATACGTAGTGTGTACTTCCTTCAGGTGGTCATAACTGCTTCAGGGTGGTCTTAAAGGGATATTTAGATCAGCTAAGTCCAGGATAATTTTTTTAAAATTCTAGCACTGTTGGGACTGGAG